TACTGAACTTCCATATATGTCCAAATCTGTTTCCTTCTACAAAAGATGATCTGAACAGACAAATAACAAAAATTGATTCTGAGTTCTGTGTCTCAGTGAATGACTTTACTAGTTTCTCTGTTACTGATCTCTAGAAATCTCTGGCTCACTTTTAACTCTGAATTCAGCTCATCTTATCTCTTACACAGTGGGCAATGAGTTAATTAGCTGATGAACAGAATCTAGTGTAATCTTTTGGTTATGAGATAGGTATTACTTTTCTCTGTTTTACAGATGAGGACCTTGAGGGCCAGAAAGGTCAAATAATATTTCTAAGGATGATACATGGTACCTAAGAGGTCCACTTAAGATCAAACCCACATTGCTTTCTCTGCAAAGTCTGGCCTATTGCCCATTATATTGCATTTTCTCTTCTTAGAGTTGGTCTGATTGTTACTTTTGTACCAGGGCTAACATACTTCATGTCCACATTTGTATTCATCTTCCTTTTTTGTAACTTTTTAATCTACGTATATTTGTGACTAGGAAGATTTTATTAATAGTGTAGAGAAATTTTTCAGTAGCTTAAGCTAAAACAGGGCTCAGGAAACTCTTTCCATAACGGACCTAACAGTAAGTGTTTAGGTTTTGTGGGCCATACAGTCTCTATAGCAGCTACTCAATCTTACCTTGGTAGCAAGAAAGCTGCTGCAGGTAATAAATGGCTGTGGCCGTGTTCAACAAATTTTATTTGTAAAAACAGACTATGGGCAAGGCACGCTGGCTCATGCCTATAATCCTACCACTTTCGGAGGCTGAGGTGGGCAGATAACTTGAGCCCAGATGTTTGAGACCAGCCTGGGCAATGCAGCGAAACTCTATCTCTACGAAAAATACAAAAATTCACCTGGTGTAGTGGCTTGCACCTGTAATCCCAGCTATCTCTGGGGCTGGAGGGCACTGGAGCCTGAGACAGGAGGATCACCTAAGTCTGGGAGATCGATGCTGCAGCGTGCACTCCAGCCTAGGTGACAGAGTGACACCCTGTCACAAAAGCAAAAATAGCCAAACCAAACCAAAACAAAAAACCACCCAAACAGACAACTGTGGGCAGATTTGGCCCTTAGATCTGTAGTTATGTCATTTTTACCATCTAAGCTAATGTGTTTTATTGGATCTACTTATTCATGCATTTATTTATGTATTTAAAATGCCTTGAAGTATAATTTCAATTAGATAAAATAGCAGTTAAGAGAGGTCATTGCAGAGATACCATTTGAATTTAACATTCTTGGACCTTTGAGAAGTATCCTTTTTTTTTTTTTTTTTTAAATGAGGCAGGGTCTCACTGTGTTACCAAGGCTGGAGTGCAGTGATGTGATCATGGCTCATTGCAGCCTTGAACTCCTGGGCTCATGCAGTCCTCCTGCCTTAGCTCCCCAGTAACTGGGACTATAGGTGTGTGCCACCATACCCGGCTAATATATTAAAGGATTGTGTGTGTGTGTGTTTAGACAGGGTCTTGCCATGTTGCCCAGGCTGCTCTCGAACTCGAACTTCTGGGTCTAAGAGATGTTACTGCCTGGGCCTTCCAAATATGCATTTGCATATTTAAAATTCATATCCACTGCAGTGACAAGTCACTGAACACTGTGGATGGGAAGACATTTCAGTGGAAGCTCAGCCAAAAGCCCTTTTGAAACAACTCTGACAAAACGTTAGGATTCCAAAGTGTTAGGATAATAGGCGTGAGCCATCACACCCCACCAAGAAATGCACTTGACTGGGGGTTAGGAGGCACTGATTTCCCTCCCTCAGTCAGTTGAAAATTCACATATACCTTTTGACTTCCCCAGAACTTAACTAATAGCCTGTTGTTAACTGGAGGCTTTATTGATAATACAAATGATTAATACCTTTTTTTTTTTTTGAGACAAAGTCTCACTCTGTTGCCCAAGCTGGAGTGCTGTGGTTCGATCTCGGCTCACTGCAACCTCCACCTCCCGGTTCAAGTGATTCTCCTACCTTAGCCTCCCTAGTAGCTTGGACTACAGGCACTTGCCACCATGCCTGGCTAATTTTTTTGTATTTTTTTTAGTAGAGACAGGGTTTCACTGTGTTGGCCAGGCTGGTCTTGAACTCCTGACCTTGTGATCTGCCTGCTTCAGCCTCCCAGAGTTCTGGGATTACAGACGTGAGCCACCACACCCGGCCTGATTGTATGTTATAGGCATTATATACTGTATTCTTACAATAAACTAGAGAAAAGAAAATATTAAAATCATGAGGAAAGAAAATATGTTGACTATTTACCAAGTGGAATTAGATCATCCTAAAGAACTTCATTCTTATCATCTTCATGTTGAGTAGGCTGAGGAGGAAGAAGAGGGGTTAGTCTTGCCTTCTCAGGGGTGTGGCAGAGGTAGACGAGGTAGAGGAGGTGGAAGGGGAGGCAGGCACACTGAGTGTAAGTGTTATTGGAAAGAATCTGCATATACGTGGAGCCACACAGTTCAATCCACGTTGTCGAGGGTCAGCTATATTTCAATTGCTCAGAATTCTGAACTTTGTCTCATGGCTAGCTAGGCATATGAATTTATGCTAGTTATGTGTTCTTTATGAGCTTGATGTACCTTGTTGGTAAAATGGTTAAGAACAATGCCTACATCACAGAACTGTTGAAGGGATGAAGTGGAAGAACAGAGTATTTGTAGAAGTATGAATGTCGATGATGTTATCCTCCTGGGTCTCTTATGTATTTCCAGATGATATATTTCTTACAGAGAAATGTGATAGAGGCGGAAAGAAAGGAAGTCATTTCTCAAATAGAAGTGGGAAAGCTCCCTTAGTCATCCATCTCTCTCTGTTAACGATGATAATAGAAAGGATACCTACTTTTCTAGGTGGGATGAATGACAGTGGAGAATGTAAGCAGGGCTGAGCAGACAGATAGAAGGCCTGCAAACGAGGAGGAGAACATCAGACTTTGATTGGCAAGCTGGGGATGCGTCAGGAGAGTAAGGAAGGGACACGAGGCTGGGGTGCACACCTGGGAATGGACCCTAAGTATGGGTTTGGATGTGAAACTGGAACGGAAAAGCATTGACAGAAGCCCACAAATAACTGCATCAGAAGCACCTTTCCCAGAACAATTCTGAACTTTGTCTAACGGCATATGCTTTTGGAGGGAAGAAAGGCTTTCTTGTGTTTTGGCAAGGGTGCTGAGTTAGGTAGCTAATAGCCTAACAGTTTGACTTTGTGGTAAGATGTGTAAAGCTGCATTTGCATATTTAAAATTCATATCCACTGCAGTGACAAGTCACTGAACACTGTGGATGGGAAGACATTTCAGTGGAAGCTCAGCCAAAAGCCCTATTGAAACAACTCTGACAAAATCACGCCATAAATGAATAAAACCAGAGTGTTTCTGGGTATCTTTGAAAATGTCTCACATGATGACAGTGTCAGACAAAGGTGCTGTGCACAACTTCTAATAAGCCATCACACACAAGCACAGCATTTTGACTTGCAGCTAGATATCCTCAGTTCCAATTTTGAGTCGGATTGTGTTGCCCAGGGACAGACTGTGCTTTGATAGTGACTCGGAACAATATAATTCTCTCCTAATGCAGCTTCATATCACGAAGTTGTATATTTTCTTGGTACGATTGCGTGGCCCTTGAAGTAACACAACCACATAGTTATATGCTTTAAAGTAGCCCAATAGATAAGAAGTCCACATTTTAGAAGACTGATTTTTATAATGTAAGTTTATGTACGTAAATTATTTATGAACATTGGGAGGTGACATCTCAAGACTCTCATTGGGATCCCTGAGTGGGTTTAAAACTGGCTTCTGTGGGAGTGGGGAGAAAACACTGTGTGAGTGACCACAGCAGCCCTTTGTGTTGTCTTATTGAACTCTTCCCTATGTTAGCATTTTGTCACTTATACTTAGGTCCTTCTCACCTCATCTGTGACTTGAACTGCCTGTACTAGATGACATCTGAGGTGACTTTCAGCTGTAAAGTTTGGTGATTTTATTAAATTCTAGGCATTTTATTTACTTTAAAATCTAGGTCAGTGCTCTGTCTTCTGGCTGCTCTGTCACTCTTTTCCAACAAGTCTTGTTTCTGGTTAATTGTAGGTGTGTAGTAGAAATTTGCCCTTTTACCAAGAAAAGGTGTCATTGAGAGGGTGCCACAAAGATGTTACGTTCAAATGACATGACCAGATGTGAGAAGATTTGCATTTAGAAAAATAGTTTCAACTGTCCGTTGGTATAGCCTATGATTTTGTATAACATTTTCTTAGGGTTTCTATTTTATTTTTAAAATATTAAAGTTAATCACAATCTAAAGTGATATATTTTGTTTAAAACTTTTTAAAAAAAATTAGTAATGTCACTTTATGATCTAGTGAAGCAATCCAGAAGTTATGCTATGTCAAAGATAAGGAGAACTCCGTAGTTATAAGAATGAATGGCAGAAATGTGAAGGATGGCTCTTATAATCTCTTCTCTTCTTACAATCTTCCTCTCTCCTTTAGAGGCCTCTAGCCAATCATTTGCTTCCTGTGTTAGTGGGACCCTTACTGGAGTCCAATTAAGCAATGTATTTTAGGTGATCCCTCTAAAGTTTTTTGGTTTTCCAATGTACAGGTTGTCACATTTAAAGTTTTTTTCCACATCACGAGTTCAGGACATGATAACATAATAAAGGAGATTTTCTACAAAGCCAAGAATCTGAATGACAAAGGAAGGACAACTGGAGATTAGGGGTCTAAAAAGATTTAGATCTAAAAGTGATCTAAATCTTTTAGATCTAAATCTTTTGATTTAGTGCATTAAGCATCACACGTCTGTCAGCAGCTATCTTTAATTGGCTCTTTCAGCTGTTTGGAGGTCGTAGTTGGGGAGATAGGGCAGTAGTTTAAGAGGGAGCTGGTGGGAGACACACAGAACACACTCGCTTTCCACAGAGTGACAACTGACTTGTGTTTGGCCTGTGTGCTCTTTCCAGAACCCGTGAGAAGTTTCTACAATGGTGGGCTCAGCTCTCAGGAGAGGTTCTCATGCGTATGTCTACCTGGTGAGTAAGGCTGGTCACATCTCCAGAGGCCATCAGCATCAGGCCTGGGGCTCGAGGCCTGCTGCATTAGAGTGTGTTGCCCAAAAAGCCCCAGGCAGTGTGGTGGAGCTGCTGGGCAAATCCTACCCTCAGGACAACCACAGCAACCTCACTCAGAAGGTCCTCGCCAGGGTTGGCCGGAACCTGCACAACCAGCAGCATCACCCTCTGTGGCTGATCAAGGAGCGGGTAAAGGACCACTTCTACAGACAGTATGTGGGCCGCTCCGGGACCCCGTTATTCTCTGTCCACGACAACCTTTCCCCAGTGGTCACGACCTGGCAGAACTTTGACAGCCTACTCATCCCAGCTGAGCACCCCAGCAGGAAGAAGGGGGACAACTATTACCTGAATCAGACTCACATGCTGAGAGCGCACACATCTGCACACCAGTGGGACTTGCTGCACGCAGGGCTGGATGCCTTCCTGGTGGTGGGTGATGTCTACAGGCGTGACCAGATTGACTCCCAGCACTACCCTGTTTTCCACCAGTTGGAGGCTGTGCGGCTCTTCTCCAAGCATGAGGTGAGTCTTGAGATGTTTCTTATCTTTGAAGGATGTCATTGATGTTTTCTGTTGAGGTCACTAACAATTAGCTCAATGAGACCAGTATAGTCATCCTTGCTTGCCTTATTTTACCTTCATAAATCATCCATCCTTAATGACATCTCGCGTACAGGTGTGTCTCAGTATTTTTTGACTCATTTGTTGTGTTAGTAACTACAGAAATTGATAAGCCTTAGTTTTCAGTTGTCTGTCTTTATCCTTTCTCTCAATACTGACCTGCCTTTCTCTGGGTAACATCTTATGAATGGAGAATAGTCTGTGGCTCCAATTCATCTTTAATCCGGGATGGCTGAAGATGCAACATGGAAGCCTGTGGTCAGGTCATTCTTAGTTCTGTTAGGAGAAGTAAATTATGTTTTCATGCTGTTAGAGAGAAATGAATTTCTTAGGTACCTTAGGGGTCTGGCGATTTATTGGCTTGGGCTGTCAACTGTGTCTTGTCTGCAGGCTCTTTCCTGACTCTCCCCAACTTTGCATGTTGCTGTGGGATGTCTTAATTGCTGCTATTCTTGAAGTCTATGTTTGGATGCAGGGAGCCTTTTCTCCAGCTCCTTGCGTCTGTTAGATGTTGTCCTAATATGTTGTGTACAATTTTTTTTTTTTTTTTTTTTACAAATTATGAAAATCCCTAAAAGCTTGATTCCATTTCCCAAAAACTTGCCATACTACTTGTGCCTCACTCACGTTTTAAAAACCATCTCCATTTTTCGTGTGAGAAACACATTTGTTAAACTAAGCACAGGGTGTATTTCATTTTACTTCTTTAGCAGTATTCCTTCCAGACACGTTCATTGGAACAGGAGGAATTATTATTGTCACAAAAATCTCTCCTGCCAACATAAGCTAAATGAGTTGTTAATATGAAAACAAATAGTGTACCATCCTTAGGCTAATAAGTAACCATTGTTTTGTTGTATTCAATAAGTCATATAGCAGGAGAAAACCGAACAGGGCTGCCCTCCCCTTCTCTCCTTTTTCTTTCTGTTTACCTCTGGATGTGCTATTATTTTGTGACTCTGAAAATACAGTAATAGGTTGGCCTTACACAAAAAGGCCATCCATGCTGGATCTCTGGGTGTCTTAAATGAGCATTCTCACTTCTTGGAATAGCTATTTTCAAAGTTAGGAATACTAATGTTTCATAAGGATGTAGATTTATTAGGTAACTAAAATGAGATGAACGAAGATAGGTCAAAATCTGGGAAATATAACAAGTGATAGAATGCCATTTAAAATTAATGTGCAAGAGGAGCTGTGATGCCAGTAATATGACGTCCGGGTCACAGTAGCAGACAGGTGCTCAGCCCAGCTTATCTCATTAAAGGAATAAGAAAGGACCATGCGCACTGATTTGTAAGCCTGCATGCCATGAAAGAGGCAATGAAAACTGCCAGGCACTTCCGGCATTTTAATGGAGAGAAAATCAAGGCTGCCACAGAAGATGGGAAGTAGGAAGTGGATAGGAAGTTAGCCTTCACCTTGTTTCCTGTTTGTTTTGAGTGCAGTCCAATTTAGCAGTTAGCACAAATTACTAAACTGATAAAATGCTATTGTATATTCTGCTTATAGTTAGAAATTTATGTGCATGCCTCTGTATGTATCTAATCTTCTGATATAAGGTACATCCATGTTCATTGCTTCATTTATGTCTCTTACTAAAAACCTCATAAAGTAGATAATTTTGACTTTGAGGAATGAGGTCCTGAACGATTTAGTGACTTATCTGAAGTTGCTGAAGCAGTTGATAACATGGCTAAATCTGGAACTCAGGTCTTCTGAATTCATTGCCTGTTTTTCTGTATTCTTCTTCTTCTTTTTTTTTTTTTTTTTTTTTAATGAAACTCCTTTGTGTGTGGGACTCGCTTATGACCCAAAGGGGAGTTTTGGTTCCAAGAATGGTATGGAAAGTGTAGTCAGAAGCGGGTGGTGCTTTCTGAATTCCTAACCTCAACTAAAGTGTTGGTAAGACTCTGGCCTAATCTTAACTCTAAACAAAATGCTTTTTCTTCTTTCAGTTTATTTCACTATGAATAGGATTTTTAGAGCTGTAATAATGTTACAGAGACAATTTCATAATTTTGTTATCTTTTAAAGTATTTTTGTTTAATCTTTGTAATTATTACCTTCATCACTATAAGGTGTATTTCGGGAGGAAGAAAAGTAAATACAGAGGTACAGGGTAAAAGAAACTGATAAATATAGAATGGATGAATCACAGTAATATACACCTAGCTATTAGTGGTGGGAAAAACCTTTTGTATTTTGAAAAATTAAAAATGAAAACTCTAGTTAACAGTAATAATCAGAGGGAGGGAGTAATCAATAGGTATTGAAAGTCTGCTAAGGCTCTTGTCATATTTAGGGATAGGATAAAATTACTGAGTGACTTCAGACTGTTGTAGAAAAAATTAGATTGCAATACAATCTATACATTCCAAACGGATTTGAATAGAAAAAGAGGAATGTAGAGTATGATCTCAATTTAACAGACGTTAGGAAAAAGCACTGAAAAAAAGTATGGTAAATAGAAACCCCAAATTAAGGGTGTAGATATAAGTCCACATACATCAGTATTCATGAGTTTAAATAGGTTAAACTTACTAATTAAAAACACATTATCAGATTGGATATTTTTCAGTTAGAGAAACATGAAACAAAGCCACACCAAAGGGTGAAAATAAGGGGCAGGGAAAAAGATGTATCAAGCAAATAGTTCCCAAAAGAAAGTTGGTACAGCAATATTAATATTTTATAAAATAGAATTTATGAAAAAAATGTGCAGTGATGAAGAGGGATAATACATCAATCAGAAAACTTTGTGAATTAAGAATTTTTGTGTATTTAACATAAAGGTACATAAAGCAAAATTGAAGAATTGAAAGTTAAGTGACAAATCTATAACCATGTTAGAAGATTTTTAGTGACCTCAGTCAGAAACCAATGGGTTAAGAAGATAAAATGAGTAAAGGTACGGACAATCTGAACAGATGGTTAACAAGCTTGATTTATGTTTATTTTTAAAATTTGGAAGCCATGTACATATACACACATACGCATAATTATATATGTATATGTGTGTAAGCACACATGCAGACCTATGCACACACATGGAGTTTTATATGCAAATGTCAGAACTATATAGTCATATGGATTTCTAAAAATTACTTATGCATTACTAATTGACAGTAGAAGGCAAACAGATGTCAAAGAATCAGTAACAGAAATAGAGCTTTCCCTGCCTGGCTTCAACATAGTTTATGTAGAGAGCAATAAGGAAGGATAATTAATATGTTCCATATTCTCAGAAATTTAAAAATATACAAGTATAGATTCATGGGTTAAAGAGAAATATTAGCAATAAATTACAAATTACTTATCACTGACCAGCAATGAAAATACTTTGAACTGCTCAAATGCGGGGAACCATGGTCACTTCATTATGGAAAAACTTGGTACTCCCCACCTAAGCAGTAGGATCACAGTTAACATTTAAAAAAAAATCGGTAGTATGTAGCTAAAAGGGTAGTTGTGGTACCTTTTGCTTTAGATCCATTTATTTTAAAAATTGAAAATGGAAATCATCAAACTAAGTGTTCAATTTATGATGCTAAAAATGATTTTATTACCAAAAATGTGGAATGGAGGTGGGTGTACAGTTTTTGAGTATCTCCAAGTCTTACCTAATTGATAGAGCAACTAGAATAGCAAAAACAAAAACCACAGACAACATCTACAACACAAGTAGGTGACAAGTTCTCCCTAAATCCTTACAAATGCATAGGAAGTCCCAAAGAATAGCTAGGAGTTCTGCACTGTATCAGAAACAGGTAGTACAGGGACACAGTGGTGCCTGAGAAAAGGAGAGCTTCCTTCGTGGTCTCTCAGAGCACAAGCTTCCCACAATCAGATTTCTGGAGAGGCTTGGACTTGAAGTACCAGTATCACTGTTCATTAGTGACTGCTAACATCACAGAGGGGCAACCATACTAAACGTGTCTCCTGAAGGAAGGATAAAATGCCCACTATAGAGTCTTCCCTAAAATGTTGGACTTGAGTCTGATTAATTCTCTAGACCCAACTACCATATTTCCAGGACATACTTAGGCTGTGGGAAATTGTGTAGCAGGTCTACTGGAGATGTGATCTGCAGAATGAAATAGAGAACTCCAAAGTAAGTATTTAGAAACGTTTAACCAATGCTAAGTGTTTAGAAATGTTTATGCCATTATAATGAAGCATGTTATTAGTGGACTTATTTTGTTGAACAGTGTGTGGATGGGTTCAAGAGTCCTTAAATACTCTTGGTGAGTTGTGTGTGCCCAGTCTAAGTAGTAGCAGTAGGTCCATGTATCAGTTTGTGATCCACTGGAAATCTAAAATTATTCCTTTACTATGGTTTGAGAAGCACTGCAATATGGGGTAAATGATCTAATTTCTTCAAATAATTTCAAGAAAAATAAGAAGGATACAAATGATACCCGTAGATTAAAATAAAGACAGATCAATTCATCACCATGTGTAGATCCTATCTATTTTTAAAGAAAAAAAAAAAACGTAACACTTGAGACCATTGGAAATCTGGACACTCATTGAATATTTGAAATTGAGTTCTTTTTTTAAATTTTATAGTTGTGATAAATGGTACTGTATTTTTATAAAGTTCTTTTCATGATCTGATGTCTGTGATAGTCTTCAAAACAATGTGGGGAGGTGGATTAGGCATTTGGAGATGGATGCAAGAGGATTAATAATTGTTAATTATTGAAACTCAGTGTTAGATGCAGAGAAATCATCGTCCTTTCTATTGTGTATATGTTTGAAGGTTTCCTAGTAAAAGGCTGAAGAAAAAGACTGAAGGAAAACGTTGAAATCAGTCAGTCAGTCGAAAACATTGACTGAGCATGTACTGGGATTCAGGACTGTAAGAAGATATCAGACAGTCACAAGATTGTCTTTGC